AACAACATATAAAACGTGTGATTAATAGAGCTGCGACAAATAGCGATGTTCTTCTCTTTTCTATTTTCTTTTCTTATTCACGTTATATATAGTGTGTGCTCACGTTGCAATAGACATCTAGTGCTTTTTCCTTATCTCACATACGACCATATAGTCACATTTGATCACATTTAGTAAAGAAGAACAAGAGAAGAAAAGAAAAGAAAAAATACTTGTAATCATAGGAGAATGAGTCATCCTTTGTAGACAGTCCTATAAGAAGCATAGATCGGTTGCTTTATCGATGACATATAGGTCAAGCAGATAAAGACTTAAGAAAAAGATACATCATGTAGAAACAGCATGTAGATATATTTTCACTTCTATTTGGAATGATGATTCGTTGAAGACATGAAAGAAGAGAACCAAAAAAAAAGTTCTTTTCATTTTCTCGCATGGGCAGATATATCTTGCATGCAGAGTTCTGTATGTGTTACATGATGAATCCTTATACGCTAGAGCTCTAATGTACGGTACACATATATAACATACATTAAGACTGTTGTCTATGTAGAGTGATGTCACGTTTCTTTCTTTTCCTTAGTGTGTACGAACGTTATATAACGTTCGTACACACTAAGGAAAGACAGAAACGTGACATCACTCTACACAGACAACAGTCTTAATGTATGTTATATATATACCGTACATTGCAACGTGAGCACACACTATATATAACTTGAATAAGAAAAGAAAATCGCTATTTGTCGCAGCTCTAATGACATTCAAAGTACACACTTCGACTCTTCTCAACTCTTTTCTGTATGTTGATCGGAAAGGGAAAGAAAGGAAAGAAAAAAAAGTAATATTAGTCGTAATATAGTACATGCGTTGTCTATTCTCTTTACTGTTCTCCTTGTATGTTGTTACGGTTCGAAAAGAACAAAACTAAAACATCATTAGTTAGAGAGGGTGTATATATATATATATGGTATAAAATAAAAAACATCTCCATACATGTCATGCATATGTATGAGATGCATGAAAATGTAGGCAATGCATATAAACTGTAGGAAATGCTGCGTTAAAGAAAAATTTGCTGAATTTGCGTTTGCTGCCAACGCAAACCATCCATGAGGTCACCATGTACAATTGTTTATGGTCAAAATTATCGTCAAAATTTTTGTGTTCAAAGTATGTGAGATTCTACTTCTGCTTGGCATTTATCAATCGTGTACCATTGTTAGGTCACATCCGTCATAATATTTCTCAACATCTTAAAAAAAAATGTAATTGCTGATATAATATCCATAAATGATGAAAATTCATTCCCCAAAACTTGAAAGAATTCAAACCCGAAACGAGTGGATGATTACCTGCGTGAAGTTGATCAGTTGAAGGAAATACATCCATTTATAGAAACTGAAGTTTGAAAACACTTCAGAGCAACCCATATCAAATTTAGTAACCTTAGGGCAGAATATTCTTTGTCCTTTTTCACTCCTCAAAAGTTCCTTAATTCTTTTAGCCTATGAAGCTAAATTCATCTTTAGCTGGGACATGAATCAGTTGTGCAAAAGATACATTAGAGCAGGAAATGAATTTTTCAAGTCTGAATCACAGAAGTTTTTCAACTATGGAATTTTAAAGAAGTATTTTTTCTGTAAAAATGAGAGTACTTATGTTTCTATATTCTTTTTTTTTCATTAAAGTGTTAACAACTATTTTACAGCACTTTCCGGTTGAAACAGTTTTTGAATTAAATGTCGCACGATCTGAGCGATGTCGCATTTTGTGGAGAAAGTCTGTTTTATACCTGAATACGACTAAACACATTTTAGGATTTAAACTTTCAGAAATCTATATTTATTGGCAAAAAGAAATCACTTCCGTTACATTCGTAAAGTTATGCTTCTTGTAATTACGTAATTTTTAGGATTAAATAAAATAATTGACTGACTGACTAATATTGTCAGCGTTTCAATTCGTTAATAATAGTAGAAAGATAAAATTAACAAGAAAGAAGTTAAGTGAACATTTTATAACTTTGCTACTTATTTTATCTTCAGATTTGATCCATCAAAAATAGAGGAGTAATTAAATGGTATTATAAACCAGATTCAAAGTCATGGGAAAAAGCCGAAGAACAATGACTGCCATATATAGTAAATAAGATAGAACAAGCATCCAAAAAGAATCAGCAAGAAGTAGATCTTGGAAATTATATTATTAATTTATAACACAAAATACAGATACATAAAACTGATAAGACAAGGCAACAGCTAGTCAAACGTGTTCAAACATTTGAAACCCCTTTAAGGTGACTTCCATTGAGGCTTTTCAAAAATAGTCACTAAATGGTTCATCATAGTAGAGGTGCACACAAAACGTTTTTGTCTAAAAGGGAGTTTTTTGGTGTAATTTCCACTAAGAATCTAAGATTCTTAGATTAGGTTCCACTACTTTAGATTCTCAGGAAACATGTTAGGCACATGTTAGGGCTATTTAGCCGGGAGCTAATGCCTAGCCAATAGTCTTCCTTGATAATTGACTTGTACGACTTTAAACATTCGATTTTATTTCAACTATTTTATGCTTGTCAAGTAAAATTATCAAAACTGTGTACAAGAAAAGAGAGAAAACAGATGATAAAATAAGATAGAGACGTTACTATGAGTGAGTAGCATTCATAACCCGAACGAACGATCAGTAAGACAGAAAGAGAAAGACTGAAAAATCCATCGCCCGTCTATATATAGTAAAATAACAACAGTAAAACTATTGTCTTGTCACTAACGCGGCTGTTCTATACTGAAAGAAATAGTTTCATAACTGAAGAAGAACTTCCCGCGTTCAAGGAACAACTTTTATTCGTTCCCACACATGGAGACTTCAGTGAAAACTTAGTTTATATTTTCTTCGAAGTTGTCCTGTACTCATCCATTTAAAATCATTACAAAATTATTAGCAAAGGTCGACTGTGCCATATTTCTTTGTATTAAAAATAGTTAAAGAAGCATGTATGTTTAGTTTTTTGTAACTACTGCTTACAGTTTCTTCGTGGACAGTTTCGTTTTCTGTTCGCATTTGTAGATGCTTTCTAACTTTGTTTATTAAAATGATAAAAAAGCAGACTCGTATGGTACGGAACAGCCGCAGTCCATACATTTTATATTTTGGAACATATAGGGCTGAATTCTTGATCTTCCCGAAAGATACAGAATTTTCAATGACACTTATCACTTAAGTCATACTTCAGAACTTAAACAGTTAATGACAGTCAATGACAGTTATGACACTTAACTCGAAGGTGCACATACTTAAAGACACTTAAAGTGAGTTTTTTCCCCCTTGGTTATATATGCAGTACAGTGCGTCAGAATTATAAGAACTCCTTTGTTTCCGATTTTCCAGTAAAAGCTGGAACCAATCTCAATACCGTTTTGAATAGCCCGAAGATTTTTCTATCAGGTGAGGTGCATATTGCCATTTAGTGAGAAAACTAGATAAGAGGGTTTCTGGAAAACCTGACCGTTAGAAAACCAAGTGTTTGGTTTTGATCAAAACTTTTTGCAAACGATATAGCCTGATAGAGCAAAGAATTCTGAGCAAACCAAGATATTCCCTGGTTGGCTACAGCACTTTTTCACTCTACTGCAGTCGATTTACGAATGGCTACAAAGGGCGCGAAAATTACCAAGATATTCCGGTGGAAAAGCATTACAGACAGCCACGGGATATCTTAGTTTGCTCAGAATTCTTTGTTCTATAAGGCTATATCGCTTGCAAACATTTCTGGCCCAAAACCAAACACTTGGTTTTCTAGCGGTCAGGTTTTCCAGAAACCCTATTATCTAGTAAAAATATATAATTTTTCAATAAGACAGAAAAGACTTCTAAAAGCGATGTGTTTTCCTTCACTCTGACGCTAAAAGTTTTTCTGGAAAATTACGAAATCTCAACCTTTTGGCGGTGGTTCTGTATAGTACTCCAAGTATGCTATCCATTGCAACTAGTCCGACTTTACTGTAGGTAGAAACCTCGGAGAAGCATGGATTACAAAAATGCTCCACGAAGCTCTATTTTTGTTTTCTGTTAAGGTGTGGGACGAGAGTGATACGTAATATTTGTAAGTCAGCATATAGTAGACATTTAGTACTATATATCCTAAAAGAATTTTGGTTTTATCTTCTATGGTTCGCGAGAAAAACGAAATTTACGTTGTTTGCCCATGTAATTTCTCGAACTTTAGTCATCTCGAGAAATGTGCATATCTATAGAACGAAAACACGTGGGTGGCTAAAAACTTGCATCTATAGGCTTTTCAGTATGTTCTACAAGATGGGACTACTTAGAAAGAAATCTGAGATGGGCATAGAGCACACTTCTGTGAGGAACACGCGTTTTTCTCATGCAATGGCTCCTAATGATATATATATGCTAGTGACAAACCGATAAAGCAGCTGTTAGATACAGTGCGAGTACTGTAACTAACTGGTTTGAGTATTACGCAGAAAATAAACTAAACATTTTTTTCCGCTTCACATATTGTAGTTTTTCTTTATACCACATCGAGCATTATGTACTACAATTTCTCATGATCATAATCGCATCGTAATGTGCGGAAATAAAATTCTGAGATAAGGAGTCCAAAAAATCAGAAAATTCCGTCAACTCCTTCTCGTTTGAATCGAAACGATACGCCAAAACAAGAAGAATTATTCTTTGATCTGCTAATATTATCTTAATTACTTATAATTAAATAATTTCGTAATTATCACTTGCTAGCACGATACAATGAGTCGCAAAAACAAGCTCTCAGCTTCGCGAAACGCAGAAGTGAAATAAGAGATCCATGTCTCTTAGATATTGCATCTGTTCTCGCTCCATAGCTAACTTGCCTTATAAGCTCTTTCCGGCTTTAAAAGAAGCGTATTTTTTCGTAATCAAAAAATGGAGTTTATTTGGTTTGAAAAACGAAAAGACAGTTTTGAATCATGCAAGCTTTTAAAACATTTCTACTATTCGTCATCGTCATCATCATCTCTTTCTTCGACCAATTCCCAGTCCTTCTTTGCTTCCCTGTTCGCTGGTGGTTCCCCACTTGTCTTTCCAGCTTGTTCTTCCTTTTCGTAGTTCATTTGTGCCTTTTGCAGCTGCATCTTCTTCTGACGCACATCTTCCAGTATTGCATCTATTTCATCTGTTTTGGACTTGCTTGTTTTCGGAGGAGCGAGAGTGTTACTCGCCGTTCCCATTTGTTGTGAAGTGGACGGTGTCCATTGAGTTTTGGTTACAGTTGGAGCCTTGTATATGCTAAAGAGAGGAGGCGATTTTGTTAGTTTTGCTTAGATTGACTTGAGTTTTGACTTACCGAGACATGTCTGTTTTGTAAGCGAGTTTAGCTCTAACAGAAAAAAGGAGACAGAAGAAGTGAGAAATGTGAGGGAGAAAGTATTTCTTGTTTGTTATTGTTTGCCTTATGATAACTGAGAGAAAGAAGGTGTGAGTTAGATAACGTTTACACTCTGTCAAATGGATTGTATATATTTATAAATACTAAATACCGACCGTTATTTCGCAGACGGAACGTATTTTCCGAAGAAATATGAAAGTTCCGTACCGAACCTTTTTGAGGGATCGGCATGAGACCCAAGGAAAGAATCCTTAAAAGGTTCTGCCTGTACCCTTTTGGTTTTAGAGAGTACTGCTATAAATATCATATATTTTCCTGATGATGACAACAGTACGTTGTCGAAAGCTTGTTTTTCTGTAGTTGTAGCGATGTTTCATCGCGACAACATTGCTTTCTGATCTGAAAAACTTTCTCTTCTAAAACAAGAACCAGCTAGACTTCGAGCAGTGGATGATTAACATATTGTGCAAACGTAGCGGTGTAAATGTCGAGCATTATTTGTTGATGTTCCCGATGTGCTGGAAAGTTAATTATTTTTCCGTTAGAAAGAGCAAAGTCAGAACTTCGTCAAACATAGAGAATACATTTTTCCTGATTAAGTCTGAGTGAGAAAAAGTCTAAATAGCAAACGTCGCCAAACAAGCTCTGGCAACTTTCGCTCTCTTCAAACTGTTTCTCTCATCAAGCATATTTTTTCCCTACAACCGAATATGTAGGAAATTATGTAATTGTAGAAAACGAGAAGTATTTTTATCGCTCTTTCGAATGCAGGATGATAAATTATCTTTCAGTTCCACTTTTCAATCAGAAATTCGCATATTTTTAATTAGTTTCTTAACACAGTTAATTAGATTTAATTAATAATTTTCAGATGCTGAACCAACTTTCTCGTTTTGCACAAAAGCATTTTCTGGAAGAGCATTCATTCTCTAGAAATTCGTGTTGTTTAAAATCTTTACTAATATACTTTGAGTCATAAATAAAGAAATTTTCTTGATGTGTCATCTTCCCATACAGAGTGGTGCTTTTCTACTAAAACTGAGTTTTATAATACGTATTTTTACTATTAAGGAATTATTAAGAAACTTTTGGAAAGTAGAGGGATCGATAGAGTTTTGCACGTACTACATTCTCATCTATTTAGTTTTCAAAGCTTTTCTTCCCCGGCTAAAGTGAAAAGAATAAAAAGTAAGTACATTGCAAGACCTTTTTGAGGTCAATCGACAGAATGTTGTCGTACCGTTCAAAGTGCATAAATAAAAGATTTACCAGACAAAGTTGTTCTCTAGACTGTGTTCTTTCAAACAAAAAAATCTTCAGAGTGATCCGACGTTGGGAAATACGGCCTGACATTTACATCATTACTCTTGTACCATATGTCAAGTAAGGGCAGCTTACTCAGTTTGTAACTGAGCATTGCGCGACCGTGAGTTTAAGCGTATTTCGAAATCACAATGGATTATCTGCTGTAGGCCCACCAGAAGTGAACCAGAGAGAATTCATTCGAACATTACTGGAGAAATTTTTACTAATACCCTGTTTTACCATTAGTCTAATTCATAATTTTGATTAGGTATGTTACGAGACCGAGATACCCGTTTTCTCGTGCCTCGTACCCGAGTATAGTCTCGTAGTCTCGTGGTCTCGTTAGTAGTCGTATAATAGACTAAAACCTGATACTATTTTATATTCATTTATTTTAATTCAATGCTTTCCATTTGTGACTAATAACCATACTTCATGCTAGAACACATAGGTCGACAACACGAGCCAGTCTTCCGAAGAAGTCGTTCGTGGGGTGTGCCTAAGAATAGACAGAAAAAGGTGAAAGAATCACCTGCACACCCTTTTGAACAAGAAAAAACGAGACACTCAGCTTTAGGTGAATTGATCGTTCCAAATGCAGTAGACGATGTTGATCGATCGAACTGGCTTGTGTAATAAAGGAAGTAGCATATAGGAGTGTAATACGTAAATTCTTATTGAAAAGTAACCATATGTAAAAACACTATTGACAGCTCATAGGAAATTATTTCATAGAGCGAAAGGTTTTTCGAATGTTAATTGAAAAGCAAAATATATTTACTTTCCATTTCCAATCTAATAAGTCATCATAAATTTCAGGATCATCATTGTTAACATGCTATAGATTTCAGTAGCGAGGAACATCGGTTAAAAGATGCAAACATAGTGTGAGTCGCTGAGAACTTCCTTGGTTGCTAAAGAAAAGTGAACAGAAAAGTACCTATGTGTTCTAGCAAGAGGTTATTAGTCACAAATGGAAAGCATTGAATTAAAATAAATGATTATAAAATAGTATCAGGTTTTAGTCTATTTGAATCTTGAATATATGAGAGAAACGTAACTTTCTAGTACAATCACTTGTTTAGATATGTTTCTACTCTACGACTACTAACGAGACACGAGACTAGGAGACTATACCCGGGTACGACAGCGAGTATACGAGAACCCCGGTCTCGCTCTCGGTCTCGTCACATACCTAATTTTGATTAACCACAACTGATTCGAATAATGTTTTGAGCTCTTGCTATGCAACTTTTGGTTCTGGGTCAAATGAAGAAAAGACGAGGCTTATATCATGAGAAATAGCTAAGTTATTTGGGTTACTACGAGCACTGGTTTTAAACATATTTTGTCGGTAAAACAATTATAATAACTGACCTTTGAACAGTGCATAAGATCTGTTGGGTACAGAATATTTATGATATGTCAGAACAGATCAAAATGTCAACCCTGAGATTGGCGACTAGTTAGGTATCATATTTGGGTTTGGTCTCGGTTGATTAAAACTACTTAAAGCTCTAATTCAGCTTGGAATCATGAATTAGTTCTTTGAATCAGTAAATGCCTATTTAATGTCTTGTTGTGCGCTAAATGGATCTTATACACTGTCAATTGTCAGTCATTATAATATTTTTACCAAAAAAATATGTTTGAAACCAGTGCTCGTAGTAGAAATATCCAAAATATCTCAACTATTTCTCATGATATAAGCCTCGTCTTTTCTTCATTCGATCCAGCATCAAACGTTGCATAGCAAGAGCTGGAATAATTTACCTTCGTATGCATCAGCATCTAATATGAAATCTTTTAAAAGCAGTTCTTTAATTGTTTTCGAATATTCACGTTGAAAAATCATCGGGATCTTGCGCGTTTAAAACATTCCGCTTCGGTCAGAATTCTGCCCGTAGTTCTTAATTTCTCGATCAGAACTCAACTTCTATGTAACAAAAATATCATATTCTGAATCAGGATCAAACAGGATCAAAAACTGAGTCGACTGATATGTATTTTTATTCTATCCGAGTACTTTAATTTTTTTCGAATTTTCAAAATTGAATATTGATTTCGAATTTCACATTAGATGTTGATGCAACATAAGAAGGTAAATTATTCCAATCGGAAGAAGTAGAGTGGGGAAAAGAGAATACAAGACTAAATTCCTGTAAAGTTCGAAAAATGACCGTCTAGACGGTATTTAGAAGAAAGACAGTTAAGGCAGAGGCGCGTCTCTGCCTTAACTGTCTTTCTTCTAAATAACTGTTCTTTGTTCTAATAGCACCGAGCTTCTAATACTTGGATCATTGCTGTTCCCTGGTCTTTGAGTATCACTGAATCTTTTGGTTTTTCTTAATAATAATACTATGTAAAATTTTTGGCTAAATCTAGTACAGTTATGACGATTGAAATGAAAAATAAAACGATTCTTATTTTGTAAAGGTAATTAAATCATTTTAATCGAAAACAAAAGTTCATAAATTTATTTAAATGAACAATTAATTTTGTAATCTTTTTAGGTTTATGATTCGTCCGACAATTTGCTATTGAATATGTTTACTAAAATAGATGTAATGTCTGTATGTCTTTTGTATTTTATCTGTTCTCTATGGATCCTTTCTTTGTCTTTTCATTGGACCGATGAAATGAATATAAACAATGATCAACAAAAATATCCTCAAATTCTCTATACTCAATTCAAAAACCTTCGACACAATAATCTATTAATCGATCAACAATATGATATGATAAAATAATTAAGAAGCGCAAGTATTCTAATTAACATGATAATGTTTATTTGCTTAATTTTGTTTTCTCTTATTTCGGACTGTTATACCCATCTCCTTTTATTCCAACAATAGAATCAGAAAAACAAAAAAACTTCCCCCGTGTAGAGAAAATCTCACAATATATATACGTGAGAGAGAGAGAGAGAAAAGAATCTGAACACAATGAATGCAGCTATGATAAGAGATGCAATGATGACAGAGAGAAGGAATGATGACAAAGAGAATGCTATTTGGAAGACCCATGGCTTATGTCAGTAACGACTGGCATAACACGGACTTACAGTGGCTGTCAAAATTGTGCGACCACCTAATGAAATTTTTTTGTTTGTTTCGTATCTGAGAGACGAAAGTAGCTAAAGACCTACAACTTGCCCGTCGTCTCTAGTATGTTTGTGGTTAGTCTTA